TTCTTCCTGTTATGTTTCAGAAAAATATGCCCAAATTCAACAAAATCCCATTCTACCTCCAGCCCCATTCTTCTTCTGGTGCAAAAACTCTAAAAAAGTAAGCCTCCGGAGGATTCTGTCCGTCTGAGCAGCATTTAAGCCTTTACTCCGTTACGTACCTGCTGTCTGCGTTGCAGGGACCGTCTCTCGGCCAGTGATATGCTCCAGGTGAGGAAGGTGATGGAGCACGTTTACGAGAAGATCATAAACCTGGACAACGAGTCGCAGACCACCAGCTCCTCGGCCAACGACAAACCCGGAGAGCAGGAGAAGGAAGAAGACATGGCGATGCTCGCCGAGGAGAAGATTGAGCTAATGTGTCAAGACCAGGTGCGCTAAAGTTTCTTCCTTCAAAATAACTTTTTTTTTAAATGCACTTTTTGAAAGAAATGTTTCGTCTCGCTAATCTTTTTTTCTTTATACAGGTTCTAGACCCCAACATGGACCTGCGGACAGTTAAACATTTTATCTGGAAGAGTGGAGGGGACTTGACACTTCACTATAGGCAGAAGTCGACATGAAATTTGTCATTTTTACAAGCAGAACTCTTGTCATTTGCCAATCACCACCCACCTCCCCCATATAGTCCCCACTCGACCCCGTCACGTGCTCCAGAGTCACCGTATCAGTGAGAAACCAGTAAACGTCCGAGGACATGATCCATGGTGTATCTATCATAGGGGAAGTGACCAGAACACTCCGGCGCAGCCAACACACTCCTGAGGAAACGGCACCGGTTGTTCCACACTTCAAGGAATGACCTTTTTTTTCCCCCCTCACACAATTTCAGCTACCTGTTTTTCCGTTCCTCGGATCTTTGCCTGTCGGGCATCCTGAAGCGACTGACGTTAGTCTGTGTTTGAGTGTGTATGGATGTAGTAGACTGTTGGCTCTAGTACATTCCAGAAACTCTTCCTCGTTTTACACACTCTGCACCCATCCTCTGCCGTCAGGACTACTCCTGGTTTCTGCGTTAAAACGAATCCTCGTCCGCTACCTTCACTTTGAACTCGCCCACCGACTCAGACGCCTAACTGTTGCAGAACCTCACTCTGTCTCCGTCTTTCGTTTTTAGCTGTGCTGTTCTCCACGAATGAATGTTTTCTTTTTTTTTCTGTAAATATATTTGCAATTTTCTTTTTTGTTTAAATGAGTTTTGGGTTTAGCAGGATTTTTTTTTTGTACAGTTTCTGTTAAAAAAATACTTCTTCTTTTTTTTCTCAAATTGCCAGAGCACATTGGTCATCATGAAAGTAACTTAACTTGATTTTTAAGAGTTTACCCTGACAAATGTTAGTTTTTTTCCAAGTCACTTTAGGAATTGGAAACAAGTATAAGGTATATATCTTAATAACTCAAGCAGTGATTTTGATGGCAGTGAGGACTGTTCTTTGTGTACATGTCATTTAGATTTACTAAGAGTAACTATAACTTGAAGGGGGATCTCAATAGAAGAGCATTAGGAGCATCCAACCACTGTGGGAAACTCACCAAAGTGAAATAAACGCTAACGGCTACGTCTCTCTTGGAGGTCTCAGAGCAGAGATCTTTTCACTGTAAATCTTCTGGAGTTAATTTTGCCATGACACGTACGTGTGTGTGTGTGTTTGTAACGCCATAAAGGAAAACCACATGGAGCAAGCTCTGATTGGCCAAAACAAGAAAACCTGGAGAGAGAAAAAAATAAAGATAGGAAATGTACCTCAAATTAGGCCATACTACTGCAATATTCCTTGTAATAATTTGTGAAATATGTATATTTTAGGCATTCAAAGAAATAAATTGGAATGGTCTTCAGAGTGACAGATCTGTAGGGATGACGATGACAAATGGATGTTTGTTGGGCTGTAATGTGATCAGCTGATGAGTGTGGAATAAAAACAAGGGACACTTTCTTTTAAATCGATTGTTTAACAATCAGCTCACCCATTTCACATTCATTATGCATTCATTCCTAACTAAAGTATTTAAAAACATCAACCGTTGCATGATGGCACCTACTTTAATGAAAATATTCAGCCCCATAAAGACGACAGAAAAAATAGAAGAGTACTTCAAGAATCTCAGACTTCTACTTACAAAAGCTTTTCTCATCAAAAATACATTAGAAATTTAAATTTTTTTTTGCATAGACGAAATAAGTAACAGGTGTCGATGTCAAGTAGTAGAGATGCACAGATCAGAGATATTGTTTTGGTCTGATTTCAGATCGTTTTGTAAAGCGTTGACTTGACAGTAGAGATTTGAGGATCATAATCAACAGGCTTCAATATATCCTTGTTTTGATTGATTAATTATGGTCTGAGTAGCAGGGTGAAGTCACACAATGCTGTAAAATTACATGCTTTTAGTTTAAAATAAAGACAAAATCATTGATTTAATCCAGCTTTAGCTTAGATAACGATACCCATCGTAAACAATAATCTGCATTCCCTTACAGATTTTAGATTTCCAAAAGTTCCAACTCTTCCAAATTATGCCGATTCGCTAAGAGGATGGTGGCTCAGAAGAAAAATCGTTAGCCGTCATACCTCCAGCCTTCCCGTTATCTGTAGAAAATGGCTCTCGCTCACTCTCTTGCAGCTTGAATTATTCCCAACTAATGGCAACTACAATTTCACAGTTTTACTTACATTCCTGTGCTTCCACTGACTTGAACTTTCAACACCTTATGTTTGTATGATGATGATCACTAAAAGTTATTCACTCAAAACATCCCAGAAAAGTCTGAATCAAGATTGTGTGGCGGACTGCTAAGCACCATAACAGCAGGTTACACAATGAAACAAACATAAATTGTGAAGGAAGAAAATGGCCACTTTCTGCTGTAGCAGCTTAATTAAACAACAGACATCTCTCTTTCTTTAAAACAGCTTCTTACAACTCTCTGCTCCCTCTAAGTGTTCATTCTCAGTGTTTTCACACCTGAAAGTCCAGTGGACTTGAAACCGAAACAGCATTTGTTACATTTTCAAGCTGGAGCGGTTCGTTTTCACACTGCACTGTCAAACTAAAGCCTTTGAAAAATCAGTTCCCCTCCTCGCCTGTGGTGGCGCTGCATCAAGAACCACTGAAGGAAACGACACGAAGACCTCTGACGGAGACATAAGCACAACTTCCTTCTTCATGAAATGTGAACAAAACATTTTAGCGGGTGTAGAATTTATCTTTTGCATGATAAAAGACCATGAGCCAGTTCTTCTGCTCATGATCTTTTGTTTTTGTAAATACAGCAATTTACCCAGGATGCCCAGCGCTAGCTCATGGTTATTTACCAAAGACGAGAGTTAAATCCTACAACAGCTAAAGTCAGACGGCATTAAAAATTTGCTCACAAGTAAGTCGCACTCGTGTCTTCTTCAGTGGTTCTTGATGCAGCGCCACCGCGGCTGAGGAGCAGAACCTGTTTTTCAAATAGTTTGGTTCCTAAAACATACTGTAGTGTTAAAGAACAGCTGAAAATGTAACAAATATTGCAATTTGTGTTCCCAATCGAGTCGAGTCTACCGAACTATCAAGCGTGAAAACAACCTTAAACAGCTCACTGATCCAGAAAAGGCCAAAACTCAAATCTTCCTTGCTCTGTAACCACGTCAACCCAACGAGTGTTGTTTATGCAATCTGCAAGTGATATGGTATGGTGTGTTCACCCCAAAAAATATCAGATTTTTGAGTTAATAGTCAGGTTACTGGCTAATTTATCAGTGCATCTCTTTTAATAAAAACATGGGCAGACAGCTAGCTATACATGAATAAAACTCTCCAAAAGCTATGCAGCTGAAAAACAGCAATTACAATAATTAAAACTAAAGACTTTGTTAAAAACACACCAATCTTATCAGAGCTGGTGTGAAACATTTTCTAAATATTACAACAAACAAAAAATAACACAACTCAAACATTACTATAATAAAAGCCCTTTAAGTTCCAATCAAAAGGAGACCACGACTAAAAGTGTCCCATGTCCAATGTTTAAAGCTGAGTAATCACTATGTAGACAACTAGGAGAGATGGAACAGTGCACCAGGAGGACAACTGTGACCTATTTTACCAGCCAGCAGTCTAGTAGTGTCAGAGAAGTTCGTAGTGTTAGAGACGTGAAGGTGCAGCTGTGCTTTGCAGTAGTCGATGTGTTTATCTTTGGAACCGTTCAAGTACTTCTCTCTTTAGTGCACTGGAAGCAGCGTTTCAAAAACCCGTGTCCACTAATTTCCCACCAAACAAGCAAATAAACCTTATGCTAAAATAATTTTAAAAAATCTGTAACTTAATTTTGTATTTGTACCTTAAGATATCGCCCTTCCTTCATGTTAAAGTCTCAGCCTAGTACCTGTAGTGCAACAATCTGGAATAACTTGGTCTGTCTCACTTCCTACATGCGTTGCTGGAAAAGTATTTTTCTGTTTTCAGATAAGCTGAAAAAGTAGGGCTGGGCAATTTAGCTTGATGACAAAATCAGTTTTTTCATATAGAATCTGATTTTAATCTATTTTTTCCTCATTTTCTTTTCCAAAAAAATATCTTTAAAAAGGGGCTATTACGATTTTTATTAGGGCCTGGCTCCAACAATATAGTCATAATATTTCCAGAAAAAAAACATTGTAGAATTATTAAAATGATGACTTATTTATTAAAAACGTATTATCGCACAACTAAATTCTTGTAATTTTATGACTATATTTTTGTAGTTAAAAAAAATAAATAAATCTTAGCGTGGCGCTTATATTCCATCAAAGACTTGACTTGAAATCAAAGCCCAAATAAGTAGAAGTTAACTGGGCCACCATCTTGTGGCCCAACTTAAAATCTAAATTTTCTAAAAAAAAAAAAAAAAAAAATATTAACCAACAAATCTGATTTAATGCCCAGCCCTAGTTGAAATGCTTTTTCACAGCAATGTAGGGCGTCCTTTATAGAAATGGATAAAAGAAATGTAAATATTGATTGTCTACGCCGCGATGCATTAGCGTTGCCTCTATATGACCAAAGGAAAATTTAATCAAAATGTGTTTTTTCTGGTTCTCCCCCACCACTCTGATGATCTACAGGCTCTGCTGACTCAGACGCCGACGCCTTCACATCGCCTAAGACTTGAAAGTCCGCCTCATTAGCAGCCGCGGTCGCGATCGGGTCTACTGGAGATGGGCATGGAGACTCTTCAGCGAAATGCTGAAGAGTCTCCACAGGAAGGGATCGCACACCCAGAGGTGGACTCGGGGTGCCGCTGGTTCCCATGACGGAGCTCTGAAGGTCTGCGGACTCGGTGCGTGGAGGAGACGTTTCAGCTGGAGCTACTCCGGAGTCAAACCAAGTGTCAGGAGCGGCGAGAGAAGCGTGGAGCTCCACAGCTGCATGGGAGACCTGCTCCAGTAGTTCACTCTGGTTCTCTGCAGATGATGAGGGCAGAGCACTGTCCTCCAGCTCCTCTGCATGGCAAAAAATCAATCAATCAATTTAAGTTCATTTGCATCGCTGAAAACTCGATTCATCTGGTCTCTTACCAACACCAGATATGTCGCCCTCCTTCTCCTCGTGCATCGCCAGGGAAGTGTTGGTCATGTCGATGGACGACGTGGACACGTCCAGCCTGTCCAAAAGATCTGCAGGGTCAGGGCTCATCACTGCCACCTCCAAATCAGATAAACCTGGAGAGAAATATTGCCAAGCAGGCAAGATTTTCAGCAATCTCCAGAGATCATACGGAGCCTCTTTATGTTCATAAATGAGTAAAAAAAAAACAGGAATCTGAACCAACCAGAGTCCATCACCGTCTGATCTGGTGGCGGCGGTATCACAGAGTCTAGGAGGGTGATCTGCTCCACATCTAATAAATCTCCACTGGGGGTTGAAGGGGCCATAAGAGGCGCCTGGAAAAAAACAAAGAAAATTCATTACATGGAAGGGCATAAATGCAGCTGTGCTTTGCTTTGCTGATATTATCTCAACGGTGGGTGTTGTTTGTGAGCATAAAGTTTGTCCGGCAAGAAAACTTGCAGTTTTACTGTGGTTTTGACTTTTCAAGTTCACTTTGTTTGTGTAAATTGTTGCAATGAACAATAATATTGTCATTTTGAGACCACTTTCAACCCATAACAATAACAATAATAATGGATTATTAATGCAAGTATACTCACTCATTGATTAAAAAAATACTTTTATTTCTAAAGAACATTTAACACTTTTAATATCCTAAATGAGCAAACAAAACAACATCAATTAAAATGTTCTATGAAGTCTCTAACCACAATTGCATTTCAAAACATAATAATAATAATAATAATAATAATAATAATAAGCTTATACAGGGAAACAGGTAAAAGTGGAAGGTAGTGCAAACTAACTACTTTGTACTGGGTGTCAAATGTTGGCGTTTCTCAAAATGACGGCTTAACTACAGGTTGCATTACATTAACAAAACTATTGTAAGATATTATTCCAAACACAAAAGAAGAAGTAACAATTATTCTCATGTGTATAGATTCACATTTACCTCTGTGTACCCATGCGTTGGCTCCTGTGGAGAGGATTTCTCTTCTGCCACTGGGATGGAGGGCTTCTCTGTCGACATTTCTGGAGTCGCAGGAATGCGGTGCAGGTAGCCATAACCGATGCCACAACCCAAGCTAAAGACAAACATATTTAAGAGCTTCCTGATTTTGTACCCTCATTAACAGCGAAGGAATGCATGTCTCATAAGTTATTTAGTGAAATCTTGTGGATAAATCACTGAATTATAAAAACAAAAAAAAAAACACTCAACCAGTAAGGCAGGAGAAAGGGAAAAAAAACACAAGTATATCTATTCATGTAATTATGAACCTTTGTCATTTTAAACACAAGCATTAATCAGCATATTTACAAGTTTCAGCAAGTAGAATTAAATGTTTTTTAGGACTTTTATAATGCCACCTTGAATTAAATTTAAGACCAAAAAAATATAAATATCGTGAATGGTTGTATTATAATGAGGCATAGCATAAATTGTGACATTTCTGAGGTTTGTTTGTGGCTCCTAGCAGTGGCTTTGTACTTCTCAGACTGCATTTGGCTCTCTACAGCTTTAACCCCGGAGACGCCTAGCTTAAAAGTTTGTTTTGTGCAGAATGCACCTGGCTAGCATGTGTTGGTAACAGAGGTGAGCCAGTGGCAAAAACAAATGTCGTCCAGCCATTTGTTTTTATCGCCAAAGAGCTAGCTAGCTATTGAGAGCATATTAGCAGCTAGTTAGCGGTAGCCTCAACTGCTTTGAGTTGCAGGATTCATTTAAAATGTCTGCGCGTGACTCAGAATTTTGTCTGACAGAAAACTACAAATGCCACAACATTTTAGACATGAGATCAATATATTTGAGACCAACTTAGATTTGATGAATTTCAGACATTTTAAGATTTTAATTGCAGATACATGAATTAAAGGCTTTTTAAGGATGCGCAGATACCCTGTTATTTGTGTAATAAAACAATGGCAGTCAAGAAATGTTGCTTCCTCTTACCTGCCCTCTCCTCCCCACGCTCCATTAGGTGTGACCATCACATCTCTGCAGTTGTCTGTTCGTGTGTTATACACCAGCAGCTTCAAGGGTTTCCCTTCATGGGCTTCGATCAGCGAGAAGAAGTCCTCCAACTGTAAATCATAAGATCATAGCAACCTAGCTTTGTTATCCAATTTGCCAAATATCACACCACATGTAAATTAAAAGGTATAGTGACGCATGCCAATAAAGAGGGAGTCTTAAAGGAGCCTTACGTCTTGTAACACCTGATCTGCCCCGACAATGTAGTCACTGTATGACTGAAGACCTGCCAGTGCCGCTGGTGAACCGGCTTCTACGTCCTAGGAGAAACGGGTTGGATGTAAAGCACAAAAGGGAACTCAAAAATTTTAAAAATGCTTTTAACCGCATCAAGATTGAAATAACAATCGGAAAATGAGTTTTCAGAGTGAGGAAGTGGCTCACCAGTACGTGCCAGACGTTCTCATTGGCTCCTTGGTAGCTGCAGAAGCGAACACTGGCGCCCAGCAGGCCCTGTCCCCCCCACATGTTACTGGGCACCACCTCCAGCTCTCGGACCCCGGTGGTTTTGGTGCTGTACACCTCCATCCTCACAGCTCTCTCCATGTTGGCTTTCAGGAGCTCCTTCAGCTGCTCATTTTCCTCACTCTGGCCCACAGACAAGTGACCAGGAATCAAAACAGAGATTTTTAAACAGCATTCTCACTTTATCTGTTCTTCTATTATGTATTGAGAGAATGGTGGTTATGATATTTTTTTTATGGTGTGATCTACCTAAGAAAACACTACAAGGCATGATCTAATAGTCTATTATTCTATAAAAATAATAATTATGACTACAGCTACTAAATATAAAATTTGAGATTTTGCACGCATTGATATGCAAAGGCGACTGTGATTCAAAGTATTATGCAGCTGTGGAGTATATAAAGTTGCCATTACTGCGTAAAACTTACGAGTCTTTGGTTGTCTAGAGACAGAATGAAGTCAAAGAAGGGCTGCAGTCCGGCCTTTTCTGCAGGAGAATTAGGCTGAATCTGTCACAACAAAGATAAGGAGGCTCACGTTAATGCTGCGGCTGCGTTTCTGGGCAAAGCATGAGCAAGTTTGTACATTTCAAATGTCATAAGCAACCAACAGTAAAGTGAATCAATGTAATCTGCGACTATGTTACAGCACAGATTGAAAAGAAACGGCCTCGGGATTGTTCAAAGCTGAGCATCTACTAAATCAAAAATCTCTTTTGATTGTGAACTTGTCCTCTGGGTTACTATGATTGAGTTACTGAGTGGAGGTCTGGCAAATCACTTAGAAAGTTTTATTACAACCATTTTTATTTGTTGCAACACAGTCACCAGAGTTACATATGAATGATAAATAATGTCAAATTTTACGACTACGCTAGTTTTTTTTTTTGTTGTTTTTTGTATTGGGTCTGTTTAATGAAAGGAACAAAACTGCTGCCAAGCAGAAACTATTCAAAAATATTTATGTAATAGCAACCGTATGGATTTATAGTTGTTTATGTATATTGGCAGATTGTGTTCTATTTATAGTTATTGGTTTGCTAATTGAATAACCTTTATTAAAGCTTTTTTTCTGTTTGATTGTAAATGTCAGTTTAAAAAGACCCACCTCGCTAATGTTTGCTAAATAATTTCAGAAACACAATTAATTAAACGCTATTTATTCTGACCGGCTGAATGAACTAAAGCTCTCTCTTGATTTATCGTTGAGCTAGTTATGTAGCTCAACGCACCTGTTGTAAAACGAGACAAACACAGTAATTGCAACCTCTTCGTTACAAAATGACTGTTCTTAGAAATGTTTCTGTCCTGTCATTTTCTCCCCGCGGGGCTACGAGTAAACAATGCCACATCATCGTTCGTGTTTAGAGGCTCTTGAGCCGCAGATCCTCGGCTAGCTAACTGTTAGCATACAGTGAGGACTCCAGCTAAGCTGCTGCGCTTTTCAAACAGAAACTCAGCCAGCCTTACGCCGTGGACATGGTATCCGTACGTCCCTCCCTCGGGGGCTTCTGAGCTCTGCGATAATCCCATTGCAGAAAAGAATTATTAATTTTATTAGTGTTATTAAAAAATAACGACAGAGAATTGCTATGGTTGACACTTCGCAACCATTTTTAGCAGCCCAAAACAATCGAGCGTCGCTGTTATCGAGCGCCAAAACTGATCTACACTGCGCATGCGTACGTATGCTTGAACACATGGTTTAGTTCAGGGACGCCCAAAGTATGGACCGTGGCCCTTGGAATAATTTTATGTGGCCACTAAGTTCAGTCGAATAATGCTTCAAATTTGGCCCTCCAGTGGGCATTTTTGTCATTTTGTAGCATGTCAATTTCAATGACAAATTTAATTCTTCTTTAACCGAAAGTGTTAGTCCCAAAGTAATTTTTAATGGTTGTGTTTTGTTTTAATTTTAATTTCATAGTAAGTATAAATATAAACCTCCAGGAACTTTTTGCTAAAAAAAAAAAAAGAAGAAGAAGAAAAAGAAAGAAAGAAAAAAATACAGCACATTATTGATTCTGTTGCATTTAATTCACAGAAGGTTTTTTTTTCTGGACCAAATAAACTGAAAGTTAGGAAAATGCACTTTGTTTCATTAACATATGGTACGTTTAAAATCACAACAAAATTATTTAGCTTTTTTTTTCGTGCCAAACAAATTTTTTGGAATTGCGGAAAAAAACGTTTTCACTGAACACGTTAGGCATTGCTATGTTGTGGTGAATGGATCATACTATAATTTTTTTTATATAACGACCAGTCTTTTGTTAACAACTCAGCAGAGAGAGAAGTCAAGTTTGTTTGCATGGTGTGTCCAAGTTTCACCCCATCACAATAACTCATTTCAGCAGAAAGGCAGTTCAAAGACAGCTTTTAGCTCAGCAGGGACTAGCACTTAGTGTTTCCTACTGGTCCATGTTGTACTTTGTTCCGTTTTTGGCAGAAGCTCCTTGTTTCTGATTTACAGTGCAGGAAATGTTTGATGTGAACAGTTTTATTCCAGATTTATTAAGACAAACCTCGTCTGTTTTCAAAAGATGGTTATGTTGGCAGAGGATTCTGTGACTGTCGATAAGGTCCACTGAGCTGGCGGTACATGCTGTTTTAAGCCACTCATTAATCAAAAGCAATCTGCTGTATCTTTCATTTTTACATCAAACTTTCGATAGCGGTCCACCATTAAAGACCTTGGCTTTGAGATTTCAGAAAACAAAATGCAGATGTACTCCATAGTTTAAAAAAGGAAACATTTGTTTTAATGAATCATTGCTCTGTTAACAATAGCACAATATTTATATTTGGCAATTTTTTTTTCAAATATATTATTTAAAGATCTCTAAACATTATGCATCATATACAAAATCCATGACTATCCACTGAACAATTACAGAGCTACATAAGTCAACACTACAGCTGAAGCAGATTTTATTAGACACTGCTGTAAACATGGCGTCAATGGTTGCGACAGAACACTGAAACGGGAGGAATTACAGAGCTTATAGCAGCCGACATATTTACATATCGGGGGGGAAAAGTACACCGGCTGCATTTGTTTTTGGTATTGCTCAAACAGACGGACCAGAAATGCTTCACAGGAACTAAAGCAACAATTAATCTTGGGTCAGCATGAGATTCGCACAATATAATAACCTTGCGCAAAAACACCACAGTGTCACGGCATTTAAACAACAAAAATGTATGCTAGATGTGTAATATGATGCACTTTCCTTTAAAACGGGAAAGCTTATTTGAGCAAGTAGTAGAAAAAGTAGGGAAACCCTTTATTAAGCCAGCGGGTAAAAAAGGCATAGTCCACACGTAGCCAGATTTCCGGGGAAATAAATTCATTTCCATACGTTTTGGCCTTTCATCTACACAAAAACTCAGTTTTATACTATTAAAAACAATTGTTTATACAAACTCCGACCAAAGTAGAGATTTGACATGGGTCCCACGCATTACAGTCTGAGAAAAAATAATGTGCAAATATATCCACATACTTGATTCCCAACCGACATCGTCTTGTGTTTTAACTAAATACGCTATTTAAAAGTGGTTCAAACCATAAATGAACCCCCTGGCGTCATGTTTGATTCCTAACAGGAAATCGCAGATGTAAACTCAGATATGTTTTAACTTTGCGCTACACTGCCCCCTAAGGGTTTGGCGTGGTTAAAACAACGCTCCGGGTCGGAACTGAGTACGAGTAGGTTCTTGTTGAAAACTTTTCTGAAACCGATCCCGTGTGTACGATATGATTTTTAAACGACGTGGTAGAGATATACGTTTTTATAAAGACCTGGCTACGTGTGTACAAGGCCTAAAATTCACTCTTCGCACTTTCATAAGCGTCTCATTGAAAGGGCTAACCGCTAACCGGCCCAGGCTACTAACCATAAGATGTTTTCTGTACTGTGGAATAAAAATGTCTGCTGTAAAAAAAGAAAAAAATAAAGCTTTAAATATGGAGTCTATAGGACCATCTGACACACCACTGCTTTCATACACTCAAAGGTAAAGGAAAAGTACTGTTTATCGACTCGAACTGTTGCCATTACAATACTAGTTATTATTCTGATGTAAACTCTGCCATTTTTACCAGTTAATAATTATGTCACCTTTTTATGAGTTACCACTCATAAAAATAATCACTGATTAAATAAATAAATACGTATCGGCCCAGTAAACAGGTACTCAGAGTATGTTCTGGGAAATAATCAGAGTGATGTGAGAATGATTCCCAAATCCAGCAGAGCACGGCTTATCCTCATCCAGAGAGTTGCTGTTTTAATTAATATGCTACAACACCTAGTTCTTCATTGCATGTGATAATGCATTGCAGTTCATATGCGTACTTTGTGCATGATATTGTTGGTCATGGTATAAATTAAATACATCCCATTACAATTTTATTTTAAGGAATTAATAAAAATTAAGCTAATTATTCAAGTGTGATTTCTCTCGAAAATAACTTTCAGGCAAAAATAATATTCCATAGGGAAAAATAGGTCTTTGCATTTAGAAATTATTATAAATAGTTGTTTTGTTAAAAAAGCACTAATGTGGGCGTTTTATGAAATTGGCTATGAAAGCAGAGTGTCTGAATCAGCCAATCAGAGACTCTAGGAGCTGGGTGCTCGACTCCTGCGGTGGTAAATTCACCGAGCTGAACAGCTGGAAGTGCTGGAAGCTGTCAGAGTGTCTGTGCTCTTTGAAGGAGCTGTGCAGCGGTCCGGAGGGGTAGTCTCTGTGGAAGAACTCCAGGTCGGAGTCAGAGGAGAGGCTCAGGTCCATGTATCCACTGAAAGAGTAACCCATGGTGGGAGACGGCGTGTTAGGGAAGTCCTCGAAAGAGTCCTCGTTGAAAAAGTCTCTGGATTGATTGGCGTTCTCGTCGAGATAGTTCCTGCTGGCGTCAATGTTGTCTGCAAGCACAACGGGCGAATGTGGTGTGTCGTCATCGTCTTCTGCGTTTGCAGAGCTGCATCTGTGCCGGTTTTGGGCGCACGAGAAGAAGTTCTTATTGCTGGAGTCATGGGTCAAATCTGCATCTCTGTCCGGAAGAGTGTGGGTCCCGCTGAAGAATTGTCCTGCGTCGCATTCGGAGGAGGAGAGGGAGGATTCGGACATGTCGCTGCTGCAGCTGTTCTCCTCAACGACCAGCTGGTCCGGGATGCAGCGGAAAGAAGGAACGGCAGGCATGGCGAAAGGAAGCAGGTCCTCCTCCAGGCCGGACCTGAATGGACACCTGCTCTCCTGCGTGCTCTGCTCTGCGCTGGACTCATTGTGTCCTGAACAGTCTCTGAGCTCCTCGGTCACGACCGCCTGCTCCCCCAAGATGAGCGTTTCACGTCGTAGTCGCCTCTGCAGCTCCAGCCTCATGAGCGTATGGATGTAATGACTCTGAACGCGCCGGGCGTCGAACTCGATGCGCCCCTGAACGTTTCCGCAGCTGTCCTTGGTGCAGCCGCAGGGGAAGTTGAAGCGGTCCACCTGTTGGTCAAAGGAAAACAGTCTGTGAATTCATCAAATTCATCATTCGTTAACAAATTTGCCTTGTATCATTTGCACGGTATCTGCTAGTTTCAGGAGGTCAAATTTAAGACTTTTAAAGACCCTTTTTTAATGTAGTTTGAATTAAATTTAAGACTAAAACTAAATATAGGGAATGGTTGGGAGATTGTGCTCTATTACAAAAACTATCTATTTGGCTTTGTGGAAATGGTAGAGGCACAAAGGATAGCTAGCTGCTGGTAGCCTCGACCGCCTTGAGTCACAGAATGCAATGAAGATGTTGCGTGCGAACCAAATTTTTGCTTGACATAAAAAGTCCCAGGAGAAAAACAACTACATGAAATAGTTCTGCCATGAAAAATGTAAGACTTGTGAATAACATGCTTAAGGCCAAATTACATTTTTAAAAATGAATTTAAGGCAGTAATTTTGAACAAAGAAATTTAAGACTTTTTAAAGGTGCGTGGACACCCTGGCTTTAGAGCTCACTGCTGTCCAGCACACTATGGATGCAAGTTAGCGACTAACCAGTTAATCTAAAGCTGATTGATCTTATTAATGGACTGACTATTAATTGAGCTGTCATGCAGCTCCACTGAATGAGCGCTGAGGTTATAGCTTAAGGAACTTGTGGAGTGTTTACATTTCAAAACAGAGCCGCAATAACGGCCATTTTGCATTCCACACTGGACTCTGTTTGGACCGTTTCCCTTTTCTGTTCTGTTATGGCTCCGCCATCTTTGTTTCTGTATCAACTAGCTTTACTTAAGAATGACCAGCAGCGCCCTCTTCTGAATGGTGGCCAAATGACAACACTAAAGAAGGTCAAAGCAGACATTACAAGTTAATCAACTGGAACTTATTTTAATCTAATAAACCATTAATCGACATTTGCATCCCTGTTGCAGACATATCTTTTTTTCAGATTTTGTTAATATTTTCCCAAGACTTTGAGGTCCGTAACACAGACGCGACTTGTTGCGAGTCAGTGTTGTACCTGGCACTTGATGCCCGCCTGACTGCAGGCGCAGGTCTCCGGCTCGCAGAAGCCCCGACAGTCGCAGCCGCAGGCCTCCCTGGAGAGCCGCAGAGCGTGAAGCTGCCTCTTCTCCTCCTTGTCGATGACCTTTGCCCCCGCCGCCAGGAGGAGAGCCTGTCGCTGTTTGGAAGAGAACGGCTGAAGGTAGCCTCCGTCCTCCAAATCCGACTCACTAACATGAATGTCAGGGTCTCCACCCAGAACTTGATCCGTTGTCAGCTTCTCCGCTTCGCTTTGGTCGACGGCTCCGCTTATGATTAGCTGGAATCAAACACAGCAGCGGCTCTAGTTAGGAGAAACGTTGTGAGCGAGACCAGTGCAAAGCTGAGATCAAGAGCACTCACTTGGTGTTTTAGTGCCTCAAATCTCTCTTGAATTAGTTTCTCCCTGTGCCTCTCTCTGCGCCTGCTGCGCTGCTCCACTGCATGCTCGTCCACGGTGTACCTTCGGAGGGCGCTGTGTTTGCGCACCATGCCCAGGGTGGCACCTCCTCTACTGGGTACGCTGGTGAAGCCCTGGCAGCGGGGGAAGCTGAACACCGTCACCTGGTCGAAGCGCACGCTGTTCGGCCTTTTTGAGAGCTTCGGCTTCTTCAGGATGGGCCAAACTGGTCAGGTTTAAAAAAAGAAAAAAACATCACAAACATTAGATAAAGCAGTGAGCATTCTATGCAGAGACATATCTGCAAATAAAAACAAAATATATACCGCAAGTATTACTTATTAAAACCACAAACCTCACAGATTTGATGTGCGTAATCTAAGTTTTAACACTATCAGCTCTGCTAGCTGAACATTTTCATTGTCTTTTCCATGCTTAATATTGTTTTTCTCATTCTTTCCGTTTTGTTTTTGATTTGGCTGCCTCACCTTTTTATTTATAGTACAGTAATACACTTGGCGTCTGCAATTTCTGGCCAAAACGTTGAAAACCATGTATCGTTTTCCACTGCATGGCGAGAAATTTATTAGCACTGTGGTGTTTTGGCAAGAAGATTCTCGGCTTCAGTCCCAGATAAGGTTAGGAGAAATTTCAAGGATTATGAATAATTTTATATTGCATTGTAAATAAGCTGCCCATCCACAAAATTAGTGGTTCAGTTCAGCCTCGGATACATACAGATAGATGTGTAAAGCTTACAGATAATCACTATGCAAGCACAATTGAAATAAAAATAAAAAATCTTCAACGGACTGATGAAGAACAAGTCTGACTTTTGCTGAAACCTTTGTAATTTCCAAAGCGGCCACTAGGGGGTGTACTGCAGGTGCTTGGCTTCATTTGGGGTCAACAGTTGAACACAAGTGAAAAGGAAATGCCAAGAAAGGCTTGTGTAAACAAGTAACCGATCAGCTGCAGAAAGCAGATGAACTTCTTCTTCCTTTTATTTGTCTCTGCAAAGTAATCAGACCCTCAGCGGTCTGCGACAGCGTCCGTCGGGTCAGAGTTTGACCTCAGCAACAACATGAAGCACATCCAAGTCTGAACACCCGGCAGCAATACGTGAAGGAAAGCGAGCCCAGCTGGTTGACTTGGTATCATCTGCTCTGTTTGTCTGAACACATCCAGTCTAAATCTGTTAATCCTTGACTGTGCCGTATTGGCGGTGTTTGTCCTGAGGAAGAGATTACTGTAACCTTTCTGAAAACATCTCCATAACCCTGGTGTTTGTTTCCACGCCAGTGTCCACACTGAGCCTCACTCTTCCCTCATTTTTGGGGTTTTTGGTGCAGAACTAGCCATGCTTTATTCTTAATATGATGGATTTAGATCTTCTTGTTTATATTCGCTTTTTTTCTGTTTTTATTTCCTTCCTCTCAAATAGTCGAGTTCGCTTCTTGCTTTTGTGAGGTTTATTTCAGCTTTCCGCAGAGGGAAGGAAGTAATTGGGGCTTTATTTGTTTGGGAGTTTTATTTTTCGCCTTTTTCATTTATCATTTTAATATATTATTTTTGCGACATCATTCGTGTTTAAATACGTCTCCAGTTCGAGATTGAACAGGACAAATTACGCCGCCGATGAGTGACGGCGAGAGTGGCCTCCTATCTAAACGAAGCCATTTGATGCGATTTGTTTAAAATGATCCTGCTATTCAAATTGATCCCACTACTTCTTATTGCTCAAGCAAATGATCTACGCTCTGCAGGAGCCGGCCCCTCTCTGCGCATCTTATCTGCAACGGGGCTTAAAGGCTGGCGTTTTAAATATATCAGTCAGCCATAACTTCTGCTCCAGGTTGATAAGAGACACTCCTATAAAACGCTGGTGAGGAAACGCGCCGATAAGGAAGGAGGTTTGCATTATTTGAAAGACGAGGGGAGGGGAACAAACGTGAGCGGGAGACTTACTGGGCGATCCGGAGGCTGACGCAGGACTGTGAGGTGTGAAGTCGTGGTTCTCGGAGGAGCTTCCCTCCCCGTCCGACTCCCACTCGGAGGAGGCAGGAGAGGAGAGGGAAGATGGAGAAGCAGAAGAAGAGGAGGAGGAGGAGAAGGAGGAGGAGGGAGGGGAGTAGCAGGGATTTTCCTCTACTTCTGCAAACTTCCTCTTAAGGATGTCTCTCATTGTTTGGCTGTGGCGGTTCCTAAACGTTCTGCAAGAACACAGAAGAAACAAAAACACAGGTTTAAATAACTTAACATTGTGTTGAAATAAATGTGCAGCCTAATAATGGAGGAGGAGGAGGAGAAGGAGGAGGAATTTTTGGATTTCAAATTGAAGTGCTTCAAAGTCCTAGAAATACCAAAGTTAGTATCCTGTAGCAAAACACACTGCTGCCCCTCCCCAACCTGCTATTGCATACTTTCTTCTTGTGCATTAATCCAAAACGTGTTTTATTTATTATAGGATCTGCTATGCTGAAAAACTTTTAAAGATTAATGCTAATGCTAATTTTTGACACATGTAGCATCTGATAAACCCTTCTAAAATATATAGGTCCTAGCGTTTATAGGATGCAAAAAAAAATTTCACTTTGTTTTTTTTTTCATGTTGAAATTAAGTTGTATTAACAAAAAAATAACATTTTAAGGATTCAGTTTCAGAAAGCCAGTGAGGATTTGGTATTCCTGGTAAGAACTTTACCTAATACGAGCATCTAAATTTAAGGTGGTTTATTTTTATTATTTTTACTTGTGTCTATTTATCAAAGATACAATAACACATTAATTTTATAGAAAATATTATTCCAACTGTAAAATTAATGTCACATAAGAAGAAATAATTGATGCTTTTTTGTTTGGGATAAAAACAGTTAGACCATGTTTAAATGTGTATATTTCTTTCTTTTTCACTGTATTTTTAGTCAAAGTTATGATACTGTAACAGTCTCATATCAATGAACAATGACACTAAATATGCTTTGCACTTTTTGGTTTTTTTGCAAGTGACAATTTCAGGAATGAGAAGCACTTCCTGGTGGAGCCGGTTCCCAGCCACCAGTTTGTTTAGGCTAATTCGATCTTGATAGTGATTTACCTAGAAACCAAACGTGTTTCACAAGCTAACTCAGAAAATCCTCCTCTCAATTACAACTAGCTGAGCACTTAGGAGAAGTAACAGCGGCAGAGCAACTTCACGACTCTTCTTTCGTTTCCCTGCAGAGTAATTAACATTCCAGTGATTCCTTAAGTTTCATTTTTTTTTTTTTTTTTTTTTTTTTTTTTTTTTTTTTTTTTTTTTTTTTTGAAGCCTGGCCGGGGGGGGACTGTTGGCTTTTTCAATGTGGCGGCGG